TATCCGAACCCTCGGCGGGAGCGCCACTGCGCTCCCAAGCGGCGCACTGTAGCAGTGCGCCACCGGGCTGGCCCCAAACTCCTTGATTTTTGAGGAGATAAACAAATTTCTCTACCCAGTATTAGCTTATAGATTGCATTTAATGTTTGGAGCACTGGGAATTTCCCTTACATTCTTACAAGCTAATCTATACATTTGAAAGGATTTTTTTGTTGTCTACCTAGGCAGTCTAGGTTTCCATATTGCCAAAATTGGAAATCCATGCATTTCTTTTATAATAGAAAAATTCTAAAGATATTCTCATTTTTTAAAAAAGATATGCTTTCGGTCCGGTACAGGCGCGACACTGAGGGTTGCGATCCATTGCCAGACACGAAAAAAAGACAAAAAGGGGAAAAAAAAAAAATATGCTTTTTACATATAAAATAAAATATGTAACACTAGAATGTTTATTAGGGAGGTAGTGCTCTTTTTGTAGTTTTTAAATTCTTTTCTGTCCATAAACCATACATTTACTTGGCTTACTATAGGAGAATACTAGTCTTTCACTTTCTTTTTAGATGTAACCTTCTGTAATGGAAGATGATTGAAGATAAGGGACCTCGTGTTGCTGACTACTTTGTTGTAGCAGGCTTAACTGATGTTTCAAAGCCTCTTGAAGAAGAAATTCACTTCAATGATGCCTGTCATAAAGTAGCTAAACCAAAAGAACCTATCACAGATGTTTCAGTTATTATTAAATCTCTTGGGGAGGAAGTGCCACAGGATTATATGTGTATTGATGTTACTCCAAATGGATTGTCAGCTGATCTCAATAATGGAAGTCTTGTTGGGCCACAGATTTACCTTTGCTATAGAAGAGGAAGAGATAAGCCTCCGCTTACAGATCTGGGGTAAGTGTTTTTTAAATCAATTATTGTTATTGATCTGAATAATATGCCTTGTAGGTTTTGTTCATTTTGTTCATTAATAGAGGTATGGCAGCGTTAGAAAAATAGATAAATTTGTATCTAGAATCCTGTATTCTCTTCCTGTGTTCGTTTTGTCCTACAGGTTCCCAGCACTCTCATCCTACCTGGGTTTCTTTCTGTCACAGGCAAGGGAGAGAATTTGAAAAACATTTACAGAAAAGTATCAGAAAAATAATGTTTTATACTAATCAGTAAATGTTTAATTATTTTTAAAGTATGAGAAAAGAATGGCTTTTAAACATGTTATAGTGATCATTATAGATGGCTTCTTAACTCTGCACATCAAATAAGGATCTTGGGGGTAAATTAGAGCTTCATTTAGGGTACTATATAGAACTTAGGGCTCTTTTTAAAAAATGTATAACAGCTTTATGGAGATATAATTCACATAACATATCATCCAACCATTTTTTTTTTTCCTTTTTGTCTTTTTTTGTGTCCGGCAACGGATCGCAACCCTCAGTGTCGCGCCTGCACCGGACCGGGACCGGCAACAGGATCGCAACCCTCGGTGTCACGCCCACACCTCGCTCAGCCAGTGAGTGGGGACCGGCCTGTATGTGGGATCCGAACCCTCGGCGGGAGCACTGCCACACTCCCAAGTGGCGCACTGTAGCACTGTGCCACCGGGCCGGCCCCTCATCCAACCATTTAAAGTATGCAATTCTGGGGCCGGCCTGTGGCTCATTCGGGAGAGTGCGGTGCTGATAACACCAAGGCCACGGGTTTGGATCCCATATAGGGATGGCCGGTTTGCTCACTGGGTGAGCATGGTGCTGACAACACCAAGTCAAGGGTTAAGATCCCCTTACCGGTCATCTTTTGAAAAAATAAATAAATAAAAATAAAGTATGCAATTCACTTGTTTTTAGTATATTTACAGAGTTGTGCAACCGTCACCATGGTGAATTTTAGGACATTTTTATCATGCCAAAAAGAAACACTATACTCATTAGTAGTTGCTACCCAATTCCCCCTAAACCCCTCAGCCCTAGGCAATCACCAGTCCACTCTCTGTCTCTATAGATTTGCCTATTCGGGACATTTCATATACTTTGAATTATATTATATATGGTCTTGTGACAGGCTTCTTTTGCTTAGCTTAATGTTTTCATGGTTCATCCATGTTATAGTGTGTGTCAGTACTTTATTCCTTTTTATAGCTGAGTAACATTTAATCATATGACTATATTACCATTTATCCATTAATCAGTTGATGGATATGTGGGATGTTTCTACTTTTTTGCTATTATGAATAGTGCTGCTGTGAATATTCGTGTACAGGTTTTTATGTGGACATATGTTTTTATTTTTCTTGTGTATACACCTAGGAGTGGAATTCTTGGGTCACATGGAAATTCTGTGTTTAACCTGTTTCTTTTTTTAAATTTTGAAATGTAATCATACATATTTGTGGGGTACAGTGTGTTGTTTCAATACATATATAATGATTCACTTAGGGTAGATAGTATATCTGTCCCCTGGACATTTATCTTTTCTTTGTGGTGATTATGGTCAAGATCCTCTTTTCTAGCTATTTAGAAATATCCAGTATCAGGCCGGCCCGTGGCTCACTCGGGAGAGTGCAGTGATGATAACACCAAGGCCACGGGTTCGGATCCTATATAGGGATGACTGGTTGGCTCACTGGCTGAGCGTGGTGCTGACAACAGCAAGTCAAGGGTTGAGATCCCCTTACTGGTCATCTTTAAAAAAAAAAAATCCAGTATGATATTATTACCTCTAGTCAGCCTAGAACACCAGAATTTATTCTTCTTATCTACCTGTAACTTTGTACCTGTTAATCCACCACTTCCCCTCATGCTAGGGTTTTACCTTTTGAGTAACTGCGAGATTGTTTTCCAAAGCAGCTGCACCATTTTGCATTCTCAGTATTGGTTTATGAAGGTTCCAGTTTCTCTACATTCTACCCAACATTTTATATTTTCATTTTGATTATAGCTGTCCTAGTGGGTGTAAAATGGTATCTCATTGTGTTCTTCTTGATTTGCATTCACCTCATGGCTAATGATGTGTTGAGCATCTTTTCATGTGCTTATTGACAAGTTTGTATATCTTTACCTTTACCCAGTTTCTAATTGGCCTTGTCTTTTTATTGTTGAATTGAAAGAGTTCTTTACATATTCTAGGTACAGTCCTTTACAGTTATATGACTTACAAATATTTTCTTTCATTCTGCAGGTCTTTTCATTTTGTTTATGGTATCCTTTGAAGTCAAAAAGTTTAGATTTTATATTTGAGCAGTATCAGGCTCAGAGAGGTTAAGTAACTGTCTAAGGTAATGCAGCTTGTAATAGGTGGTAGATATTTGAATTCAGATGTGTCAAACTTCTCTGTGCTTAGACGCCTTTTTTCCTGAAGTTAAAAAAAAAACAAAAATAAAAAACAAAAGGAGGAAGCTTACATTAGGGTTAACACAGTTTCTGTGATTAAGCATCAGATTTAGCTCTAGGGCTTGCCAGTTAGCTCACTTGGTTAGAGCCTGGTGTTGATAACACCAAAGTTAAGGGTTCGGATCCCTGTACTGGCAAGCTGCCTCACCGCAACCAAAAAAAAGAAATTTAGCTTTACATTTTCAAAATAAAATGTTGAGAGAAAAAAATTTACTGACAGCCAGTACAAAAAGAGAAATTAAAACTTATATTAGAAAAAAATAATTATTTTCTAAAAAGATTATTCCTGATCAATTCCTTGCACTAAATTTTATTTGTATAATGCAATTTTATTTAAGGGAATATTGATTGATGATGAAGACTTTGCCTTTTTAACATTAATTTTATATAGGATTGTGCAATTCGAACTTGCAATAAGATTAGAATATTTTTACCACACTGCTACATTTAAGGATCAGTTCAGGATGCCTGAGAATATTACCTTTCATATTTGAGGGTGCTTTGCGTATTTGTATATTTATTTTTTAAAATCTATTTTTTAGGGTTTTATATGACTGGAAAGAAAGATTGAAACAGGGTTGTGAAATTATTCAGAGCACTCCATATGGGCGCCCTGCAAATATTAGCGGCAGTACCTCATCACAACGAATTTATATCACTTACCGAAGAGCCTCTGAAAACATGACTCAGAATACGTTGGCTGTCACAGACATATGTATTATTATACCCAGTAAAGGAGAAAATCCACCACACACGTTCTGCAAAGTCGACAAGAATCTCAATAACAGTATGGTAAGTGACTCTTTTGCACTGATAAAATTAGCCACTGATGAAAAGAGCATAATTTTAAATAAATCTTTTTATTTTTATTTTTTTGGAAACAGCATAGCAAAATTACAAAATTGAAAATATGTTTTTAAAGATGTTAGAGGGGTTGGCCAGTTAGTTCAGTTGGTTAGAGTGTGGTGTTATGACACCAATTTGCATCTCTGTACTGGCCAGCCGTCACCCCCACCCCCAAAAAAGCTAAAACTTTTCCTCCCTTAGTACAAAGCAGTGCAGTAACCGTGCTTACCTCCACTTATGCAGTAGATCCCATACCATACACTTACCTATTTGAGGACATGGCTTCAGCAATTCTCCCTACTTTTTTTGCAAATCATAAGTTTTTCCCTCTATTTTGGGTTATTTCCTCCAGCATGCAAAACATGTTGCAAGATCTCTGATCTTCACAACACTTCTTGATCTCATGTTCCCCTCCTTCCATTGCCACATTTCATTGTTCTTTACAATAAAACTTCTCAAAAGAGTTGAATATATTCTGTCCCATTTCTCATTTTGACACCTTCCAGTTAGCCTTTCGTCTCCATCATTCCACCAAGATTTCTCTTGTTGGATTCAGCAATCAATTCTTTCTCTTAATTTTTCAGCAGGTTTTGACAGAGATGACTTCTTCTTTCTTGAAAGAGTGCCAGGAAGAGAGGATGTGTTCTTTTCTTAGGAGTCTCTTGCTTTTTCCTCCTGCCTCACCAGTCATTCCCTTTCTGCCTTTGCCTGATACCTTTCCTCTCCCTAACTTCCATACAATGGAGTGTCTCAGGGTTCAGTCCTCAGATCATTTATCTTCACCATCTAAACTCACTCCCTTGGCGATCTAATCATTTAAATACAGGCAATGTGTGGATGACTTCTTTTTTTTTTTTTTTTTTTTCCCCTTTTTGTCTTTTTTCGTGACCGGCAACGGATCGCAACCCTCAGTGTCGCGCCCGTACCGGACCGGGACCGGCAACGGGATCGTAACCCTCGGTGTCACACCCGCACCTCACTCAGCCAGTGAGCGGCCGGTCTGTATGTGGGATCCGAACCCTCGGCGGGAGCGCCACACTGTAGCAGTGCGCCACCGGGCTGGCCCATGACTTCTAAATTTATGTGTCTAGCCTGGATCCCTCTAATTCATCATCTCTCCTTGGTTATCTTATCTTATAGAGCATCTCAAATTTAACATGTCCAAAACTGAACTCCTGATGTGCCTCTCCAAACCTGCTTATCCCCATCGTCTTCCTGTCTAGTAAATAGAAATTCCTCACTTTAGTTATTCAGACTTAACTGTGGAGTAATCCTAACCTTTCTCTTCTACTTCTCATTCAGTTCTTCTGTAAACTCTGTAGGTTATAATTTCAAAACATATCTTGAACTTGACCACTTCTCAGCCCTTCTATTGCCATAACCCTGGTCCAAGCCATAATATGTTACCTCTCCCACAGGGTGACTGAGACACAAAGGATTACTCAGAGCCCATTTCTTCTGAGCAGTGAGAAGCCCCAAAGGGGTTAATTTCCAGGAACCCTCGAGAGAGAGGCATTCCTGCTTGGAAAATTAACATCGAACTGGGGTCTTCTCTCAGTATTTATTCTCCAGGCCAGAAAGTTACAAAAAAGGAACATAGGTGGTTACAAAAAGAACAGTAAGAAAATTGTCAAGGCAACAGTCATTAGGTTTAGTTGCACCAAGGACATCTGCCATTGGAGCCAGCAATTTTGCTGTGTTACAATTCTTTGTCTACAACAGAGACTTTAGCCTGGGGAAAGTTTCCTGTCTTTTGCAAGCTTAACATTTCTATGTGTAATTTTTAAAAGTTAGGCTATACCTGAAACTACAGGGCTTTGGAAGCTAGGCCCTGTAAAATACATTTGCTTTATTAAGGTTAGTACACTCCATATAATCATCTCTTAGGAGGATTATTGTAATAGTCTTCTAATTTAGGATCAAGCACACTTTTTCTTTCAAGAACTAGCTAATAAATTAGGTTTTGCAGGCGATATACAGTCTCTGTCACACACAGACACACGCACATATATATATAATTTTTTAAATCACTCTTTAAAAATGTAAAAACCATTCTTAGCTCAGTTTTACAAAAACAGGCCCTGGGCCAAATGCAGGCCATATTTTGCTGACCTGTAGTCTAACTGATCACTGCTTCCATTTTTGCTCTCTATAGACTTTTCTTCACATAGCAGCAAGAGTGATCCTTTTAAAACATAAATCAAATCCTATCTCTCCTTTGCTTAAAACTCTTAATCGTTTCCCATTTCACTCTTTGTAAAAGTCAAAGTCCTTCCAGTAGCCTCAAGGTCATGCATGATCTGAAATTGTCTTCTTTGTCTTTGTTTTTTTATTGCTGCTTAAAATTTATTTATTTATTTATTAAATTTTTAAAATTTTTTCTAAAAGATGACCGGTAAGGGGATCTTAACCCTTGACTTGGTGTTGTCAGCACCATGCTCACCCAGTAAGCTAACCGCCCTCCCTATATAGGGATCCAAACCTCATGGCCTTGGTGTTATCAGCATCACACTCTCCTGAGTGAGCCATGGGCTGGCCCCTTGCTGTTTAAAATTTTAAAAAGGAGTGTGTACTCAAAAAAAAAAAATTGGGGGGGTTGGGTGGGGGAATGCAAATTGTAGATCTATAAAGTAAAAGGTGAAGTTTCTTGATCCTACTTTTTTATCTTTTGCCAAGGGTGACAGTGAACAGTTTGGCTTGTGTCCTTCCAGACCTTTTTGTGTGCACATATGTGGAATATACATGAGAGTATTTCAAAAAGTTTGTGGAAAAATAGAATTAGAAGGTAATGTGAATCTTTCCATGAACTTTTTGAAGGCCCCTTGTATAATAAATGTATCCTTTATTTCTCAAAAAGTGGAAATTTCTGTATATTCTGATATAAGCTCTCCCGCCCAACCCCTCACTACTCATCTTTAACTCTTTAATTCCTTTTTTTTTTGCGGGGGCTGCTGGCCAGAACATGGGTCTGAACTCTTGACCCTGGTGTTATAATACCACATTCTAACCAACTGAGCTAACTGGCCAGCCCTCTACTCAATTCTTTTAGCGATTGCATAGTATTCTAGAAAATACAAATACAGAATGATGAATACAAATCATTTCCAGTTTTTCCCATTACTGAGAATGCCGCTTTGACCAACCCTGTGACTGTTTCTTTGGGTATTTATTGGAATGTCTCAGAAGAGTAAATAATGTGGAATTGATGGGTCCATGGATATGATATCCACTTTGAAAAGTGCTGACAGGTTACTTTGAAAAAATTGTGGCAGTTTAGACTTCCAGTCACCATAAAGTATGAGAATGCCCACAGCTCACTAACATTGGTTGTTATCAATTGTCGACATTTTTTTTTCCTTTATCACCATGGAGTAGAGAAGGCCTTTCTTTTTTTATAAATTTATTTTTTTATTGAATCAAATTGATTATACATATTTTTGGGGTTCAACATTGAGATATGTTGATCTAATCAATATTACTAGCATATGTATTGTTACAAATTGTAATTAATTTTTATGCCCCTTGTCCAATCTCTCTTCATTCCCCTCTCCCTCCCTCCTCCCCCGTCTAATTACCCTAGATTTCTTCTCTCCTTCTAAAAGAGTAATGGTTACTCTGTTGATTTGTTGCCTAGATGATTTGTCCAATGCTGAGAGGTGTGATCAGGTCCACCAATATTATCATAGAGCAGATGCTTCTTCTGTCACTCTGAAATGGGCTTTGTGGAGAGACACATCCACTTCTTTATCTCTGCTGGTGACTCTTGTGTCAATGCACTCCAGTGGTTGGGGGCCCTTCTGCGTGGTGTTGATTCTCCTTGTGTTAATGCACTCCAGTGATTGGGGGACCATCTGCGTGGTGGTTGTGCCGCCTAGCCCCTTCTGTGGCAGCCATGGTTATTGTGGTGGCTGTGGTGGGCCACCCACATGGAGGTGATGTTTTGGCATGCCCCTTGGTGCTGGCAGTGTGCCTGGTTGTGGGGTCAGTTATCGACATTTTATCGGCTATCTGATAAGCAAGAAATAATTCTAATTTGAACTTGCATTTCTTTGATTATTGTGGTAGTTGTGCATCTTTTAATATATATGTAATAGTTTTCAGTGGCTGAATATTACTGCACTAAGTGGGTGTGTCACATTTATTCCATCTTCTATTGTAAGACCTTTAGATTCTGATTTTTTTGTATTACAAACAAGCTGTTATGAACATATGTATAATTAAATCTTCCATAAAATAAGTCACATTTATTGAGCTCTCATGTGCTATACACCATTCTAAGTATTTCATATCCATTAACTCAGTTAATCCTCACAACCACACTGAGTAAATATTTTCCCCCCATTTTACAGAGAAGGACATTTGGGAGTTAAAGAGGTGGTTACCTTCTCAAGGTCATACCTTCAAAAAGTAGATGAAGCAATATTCAAACCCAGGCTATAGAATTCCAGAACCAAACTCCTGAACACTATACTGCATTGCTTACTTATTTCCTTTGGTTTGTCCAGAATTTCTAGATCAAAGCGTATGTTTACTTTTAAGATTTTTATCCAGGGGTCGGCCCGGTGGCGCACTGCTACAGTGTGCCGCTTGGGAAGCACGGCAGCGCTCCTGCCGAGGGTTCGGATCCCACATAAAGACCGGCCGCTCACTGGCTGAGCGAGATGCGGGAGCAACACCGAGGGTTGCGATCCCGTTGCCGGTCCCGGTACAGGCGCGACACTGATGGTTGCGATCCGTTGCCAGTCACGAAAAAAGACAAAAAGGAAAAAAAAAAAAGATTTTTATCCAGAAACGTTTAACTAATTTAATATCCCTACCAATAAAGTATAAAAATGTTGATTTTTATTTTTTTCTGGTGCTAGTTGGTAGAGGGATCTGAACCCTTGACCTTGGTGCTTGTTGTTATCAGCACTGAGCTCTAACCAAGTGATCTAAATGGCCAGCCCAACAATTGGGGTTTTAATCACAAATTTTCAAATATAATTTCTTAAT